TATCCATTTGCGGGATGCTGTGATGCTCACGATTTTGCCATCCTCATACATAGGTAGTCAAAGCCACATGCAGGAATATGCTCAAGATGTCATGGCATATGTTCGTTGCTACGGCCGTCCAGACTTATTTATCACCTTGACATGCAATCCAGCTTGGGACGAGATAGTGCAGCTGTTATATCCTGGACAATCGTCTAGGGATAGGCATTACATCACAGCCCGTGTTTTCAGACAAAAGCTCAAGACACTGATGGATTTCATTGTGAAAGATGGAGTTTTTGGATTTGTGCGGTTCTGGATGTATTCAGTAGAATGGCAGAAGAGAGGATTGCCGCATGCGCACATACTAATCTGGCTGTATGATAAAATTACTCCAGACGAAGTCGACGATGTGATATGCGCTGAGATTCCACGGGCCGAGGTTGATACGGATTCGCATGCAGTTGTCATCAAGAACATGATCAATGGCCCATGTGGTACCCTCAACCCAAGTTGAAAATTTCGAATCTTAGACACTTTCGCCGGACTCATTCTGTTGATATGTTGTTTTTAACACCCTAAAGAATTTTTTAAGCGATTTTTTCAAAGTTCTACTCAGATGTCCTTCCTTAAGCTGAGGTTATGGGCGAGTGTTATATTAGGTTATATGAGGTTATATTAGATATGGGCGAGTGTCTAAAATTTTCAACACGACACAACACGAACACGTAAAAATTTATTTTTGTTGTAACACGAACACGCACAACCAACACGTCGCAGGCGGTATACTCTAGAAACCCGAGTCAATTCCCGAGTGACAAAATTTGGATGCGAAGACAGTTTTTTCTTTGTATGACTCTTTTTGCTTCTGGATTTCGTCTTTCACTGCGAGGATGCCCAGGTTAGTCGTCTATCCAGGTGGACGCCAAGGTACGTTACTTCGTTAGCTTGAGTAATATGAATACCGTCTAGTGAAGGCGGAAGGCATGTTTGTTTATTAAGAGTAAACGTTATATGTTTACACTTTTGTTCTTTTGTCCTCAACTATTAGATTAACCAGTTGGGTTGTTGCTTTGTTTGGGCATCTGGAGCGACTAAGGATAGCGGTATCGTCGCCGAACGTCGCCGATGTTGTTAGTTGTGCGTTCGTAGGAATATCCGCAGTATTCTAAACATATAGACACGGGCCGAGTGCGCTTCCTTGTGGAGCTCCAGCTTCGATGATGTAGTCGCCCGAAGTAGCTCCGTTGCATCTCACTGAGAATACCCTATAGTAGAGGTATGATTCCATTAGCTTGTGAATGTATGTTAACAAACGTTTTAATTTTGTGCATGAGTCCATTGAGCCAAACTCGTTCGAAAGCTTTCGGATGTTAGTCTGTTCAGTTGCTCGATGGTTTCGTGATTTCTTCGAAGGCCAAATTGGTGTGCCGGGATAATATTGCAAGCTTCCAGATGTGGTGTAACGCGAGTTAACATGCATTTTTCAAATAATTTAGAAAAACAAGGTAGAAGGCTTATTGGTCTGTATGATGACGGAATAGTGTGGTATTTTTTAGGCTTCGATATCATTATAATGATGGATTTCTTCTATTTTTTTGGGAAATAGCCAAGATTAATGATCCCATTAAATAGTTTTCAGACGACCTCTATAGCTCATGTTGGAAGTTCTTTTTTGTGAAAGCCTTTTTTGGTTTTAGCCCTCTTATGACTTCTTCAATTTCGTTCGGCCGGAATGAAGGTGCAGCTGGCTGAGGGGTAGCCTCTGGCTGAATTACTGGCAGGAGGAATGAATTTGAGGCTGGGTTTGGCTGGAAGGCACTTTGGAGATGTGTGGCGAATGTTTCAGCTCGGTCTTAGTCTCTGCGAGCCCAACATCCCGAAGAGTTTCCTGTCAGGGTGGTCGTTTCAATTGGGGCGCTAAGATTTGGGTGGACCCTCCACAGGGGTACTTTGTGCTTGTTTGCGAGAGATTCTGGATGTACCTCAGCTGTGCATTTTCTTTCTGTTGGTGAAGAGCCTGGTCGAGTGATCGGGTTGCTTCCTTAAGGCGTTGCTTTGAAGCTGGTGATCTGCTGTTTTGCCAATCACAACACGTGCGTCTCTTTTCTCGCACGAGCTGTTTGATTTGCTGATTAGATTTGTAGTATTTGTTTCAGTCTACTTCTTTCCCATGAAGAGTACAGATTGTAGCTGCCGCAACGAGTACTTCTTCCAGGGCGCTCGTAGTGTAGTCGATGTCCGATTCCAGGTTAAACTCTGGGGCGAGTGCTATTACGTACTTTTTGTTTATTTATTTATTGTACTCTGCACTCAAAAGTTGCAAACTTTAGGTACAGACGGGGATCGGCCGTAGCTGCGGTGGCTGCGGTTTCAGTTATACTAAATAAAATGATACCTATTTCGTTAAAAAATTAGGAAAATAGTTGACGTTATAACGCTTTTCCGAAAACAAGTCAATGGAATCTGGCGAGCGCTCCGGAGTAACAGTGTTTAAAGGAAAGGAATAAGCGCATCGAAAGGGCACACTAAAAACTGATAAACTTATTAATATTAAGGGGGACATCTGAGTAACAGGGAAAAAAGCCTATTTTCTGGAATTTTTTTGGCCAAATGCAAAAGCCAAACGAAATTTAAATTAAGTGTTATAAAATTAGATGCGAAGTAAAAAATACATTTTTTGTCGTATTAATCGAAAACAAAATGGCGGCTGCGCAGCATTTCTTCTTAGGCCCTATTTTGTTGGCCCTATTTTGTTGAAGGGAGTCCATGGCCGGACAGGTAACGCCCTTAATTTTTGATCAAGAACAAAAACTCAAATTTGGTTAGATTCTATACATCAATCGAAACACGTTGGATCTCTCCGATATATAAATTTTTTGAAAAATGGCAAGTGATTGAAAAAAATGTTAAAATTTACACACAAAAAAACCGTTACTAAATTGTTGGTAAAAAAAAGTAAGCTATATAAGGTATTTTGAGTCATATATAGAGTCAAAATTTTAGATCAACCGTTTAAGAGTTGTTCGAGTTATGGGTCCGGCAGTCTCAAAAAAAAGTGGTTTCGAGAAAAACGCGCTTAAAATGTTTAGTACTGTGAGATATACTTGTGAGGCATCGCCGCAGAATTTATCTTATGGTATGTTTTTTTTTTAAAACCCTAAGGGTAAAACCCTATAACCCTAAACCCTTTTTAAGGGGTTATATACCTTTGACGAAGAAAAAGAGCAAAGTTCGGATTTTTTTTTAGGTATGTAGCAATTATTTAATTACAGGGATGTTTTAATTTTTTGATAGTACATTTTATTAACAATGTTTGTGCAAAATTTGGTGGAAAAATATTAAATAGTTTTTAAGGGGTGGCTGTTTCCCTTAGAGGCTTTTTTTTAGAGCCTTGCGGTGACAGTTCCCCAGGTCAAACAGGTCAACTTAAACCATAAAAGTAAAAAAATTTCATTAGTTTAGTGTATTTCCTTGTGCTTGAACGATCGATTTTAAAATTTTTATTTATTTTATTCATACGGGAACGTTTTATGCTAAAAATTAACTTTTTGGTCTCTAGAAATTTCACTAAAAAATTCATTTCGGCGACTTTTGTGCGTGAAAAGTCGATCGTTCAAGCACAGAAGAATTTCATTACGAACATTTAAAAAAAAATTTGAAGTAAATCGGTTCAGTAGTTTTCCGCCAATCCATGTCACCGCAAAGTCATTTTTCAAGAAACACCATTTCAAGATATTCGCGTTTAAAGTTTCAAGTTCAGTTCAAAGCCGCAATGAGGAGCGCGGTTAGGAGCGCTGTAACTTTTTCTTTACTGCTCCAATCTCTATGAAAATTTGGGAAAATGTTCTTAAGGAGTTTTTCTTCAAGATAAAGCAATCAAAAAAATTTCGATTTTTTGAAAATAAAAAAGGTATATAACCCCTTAAGCAAAAAAAAAATTTTATTTTTTTTTTTAAACGCTTACCGCTTATTAGCAAAATTTTCTTCAAATCGGCAGGTCCAGGAATGGAAGGTATTGTTGAATCAGGGTCTGAAATTTTCGGCACTTGATTTCTTTAAATCTTTGGGAGCAATTTAAACAAAAGTAGTCCTATAATTTTCTGTATAAAATAAGGTTTTCAACGGTATACCGCGCAATTTGGCGCATCCTCTGTGAAGGACTTATTAATCCTAACAGAGGCTATATAATATTTTTAAGCTAGTTCAATGAACTTGTTTGTGGACTGGTTCCGGTTCACTAGTTGGGCCTCTCCTTTTCAGTCAAATTATATGGGGAACTGTAATCCGATTTTCCCAAAATCTTTGGGAGCGATTTGTATGATTTTAGCTCTATATATACTTGAAATGATTCTACTACCGTATATGGGCTATTATACTACCAATTTTCAACATTCCTAGTGTTTATTTGATTAAATTTAGTTGCTGAATACTGAAATATTTGACAAACAAAAAGTTCATGGCTTCCTCTGAGAGCTTCACCATTTTAAAAATAATTTTTTGGGGTGAAGCTCTCAGCTCTTTTTTTTTTTTTTTTTTGTATGGGCTGTTAGCCGGGTTGGCCCATTTTTATTTAACTTTCCCCAAAGCGTAGCGAGCAATTTTTATAAAATTTTCAAGCCACATTCTCAAAATAATGGGCTATAAACTGGTGTATTGTGCTTATTGGCGCATCCTCTGGTTTCTAAGATAAAGCTCAAAACAGTAAGGGGGCCATTTTTAATGGCCATTTTAAACCCATTTTTAATTTACTTGAAGATTTTGGAACCCGCTCAAAGTAAAAAAAAAACAATGCAAGTAAAAACAAGTTTACTCAATTTTTAACATTCGTAGTATTTATTTGATTAAATTTAGTTGCTGAATACTAAAATACTTGACAAACAAAAAGTTCGTTGCTACGTTACAATTCCACTGTTCCGTTTCGGCGTTAACAGAGCGACGCTAAGATGACGGACAGAGAGAAAAAACAGATGATACAGTATTTTTTAATGTAAAACTTATTCCTAATTTTGGTCACACAGTTTGGCTCACAGTTTCTAAAACTATACACACCAAAATCATTTTCAATGGATTCTCAAGATGATTTACCTCTTATCGATGTCCTAACATTTATTACGGATGAGTTGCTTCATACATACCGGTCTTGTGTTGGAGAAATAGATAAAGAAAAATCTATCACCGAATTTTTGGAAAGATTGGATGATGATAAATCCATTTTAAAACTCAAGACGATCAATATTGAAATCAAATCTGGTATGGATGTATTAAGGCTTGTTTTTCCTTATTAAGTAAAAATATTGTATTTTCAGATCTGGATTGGTTTAATGTTAGTCGGCCTTTAACACTTTCAGAACTTCGCGGTAAAATAGTAATTTTAGACTTTTTTACTTATTGTTGCATTAATTGTATGCACGTATTACCTGAGCTTCATTGTTTGCAAGAACGCTTTCCTCCAGAAAGTGGATTGGTTATCATCGGAGTGCATAGTCCCAAATTTGAGAATGAACGTGCTAATTCAAACATATTATCTGCAGTACTACGATATGGTGTTACCCATCCCATTGTAAACGACTTTGGTTCTACATTATGGCAAACTCTTAGTATACGCTGTTGGCCATCACTTATAGTTTTGAGTCCTGCTGGATTGCCTTTATTACTTCTAATGGGCGAAGGGCACGGGAAATTTCTCGAGAAATTTGTAAGTGTCGCGTTGTCATTCTTTAGTCGTCAAGGAAAAATAGAAAACTTTAACTTACCCCTTCAAATATCGACTAATACCGATCCTGCTTCAAAGTTACGTTTTCCTGCAAAGATTGCCCGTAGTCCAAAAGGCCGGTTCGGAGTTTGTGATGCTGGTAATAATCGAATTCTGGTAGTTTCAAGCCGTGGGTTGGTGCAACACATAATTGGAGGACACAAGGCGGGACTTAATGATGGAACATTTTCTGAGGCACGATTTAAACATCCCCAGGGCTTAACGTTTCTTGATGAAAATAATTTGATTGTAGCAGACACGGAAAATCACGCATTGCGAAAGATTTCTTTAATCGACGGAGTGGTCGAAACTCTTGCTGGTACTGGTTTTCAAGGATGTGATCGAATTGGAGGCAACGCAGGTCCGCAGCAGCCTATATCCTCGCCTTGGGATGTGGCTGTATTTCGCACTCGTGATATGGATATGTCTTTTCATCTTGACGAACGGAACGTACTAGAAAAAACAATTGTACTTATTTCAATGGCCGGAACGCACCAAATTTGGGGGTATTTCCCCGAAGGCATTATTTGGTGGAAGTTTCGCAAGTTTGATCCCTTGTGTTGTGTCTCATTAATTGGAAATGGCTTAGAAGAGAATCGTAACAATTCGTATCCTCAGAATGCTGCATTTGCACAACCATCAGGATTATCGATGTCAAAAGACTTTTTGTTTGTTGCTGACAGTGAAAGCTCAAGCATACGTAAAGTTTCCTTAGTTGATGGAAAGGTTATGCCAGTTGTTGGTGGGGACCGAAATCCTCTTGTAAGTTTTTAAAAAAGACAAAATTTGTTAATGTTAATTATACATATTTTTCAGAATCTTTTCGCATTTGGCGATATTGACGGTAAGCTTTATAACGCCAAACTGCAACATCCTTTGGGAGTGGCTTGTCATACTATTGAAAACAAGGTTTTTGTGGCCGACACTTATAATCACAAAATCAAAGTTATTGATACTGAAAAGAATTATGTTTCAACGATGGCAATTGTGAATCAAGAAGGTACTCCTATAGTTCTGAACGAGCCAACGGGATTATGCTTGGACGCAGACGAATCTAATATATTAGTGGCTGATACCAACAACCATACAATATATATAATTGACTTGATAACTCTAAAGGCAAAGCCATTTAGTTTAGATTTTAGTCAAGTCACAGAAGAAAAATTGAATGAGCCCCAAAATGTACCATTAAATAGAGAGCTTGCCTCTAAAAAACTTTCTTTACATGATAGTGATATAAATACTATTACATTTAATGTTTCACTATTATTACCACTTCAGTTTACCAAAGAAGCTCCTCAGAAATGGATAATACAAAAAATAAGTCAGTTCGTTGACGTAACTCAATTTTCAGGAACTTTAGATAATGGAATGTGTAATATTCAAGTGAAGCATAAACCCCGTAATAGAGATACTACAAACCAAATCGTTATTGAATTTCTATTAAACTTATGTGAGGTTAAATGTTGCCTTATAAAACGGATTTTAGTAACAATAGATATAAACTTTAACGAGAAAGAGTGTAAAAATAGACATGATGTAAATATTCAAATCGATCGGTCTACATTAAGTATCGAGTAAGGAAAATTGTTAGTTTTCTGTACAAGATTTTATTGAAAATAGGTACGAAAATGTATTAATCGAATAACAATTTGAACACTAGCACCCGTGTGTGTAAATGGGTGAACACGCATATTTTTAAAGATCGATTTAACCGCCGTTGGTGACTGTGCTTAACTATCTAGGTACTGGTAGCAAGAAATTTTTGCGTCCATTTTCGTTGTATGAAATGTACGATGTACATCTACATATATATTGTAAGGTTAGTTTTTCTGCGCTTCCAATTTTTGTTTTCTCCTTTTCAGCTTCTGGAAACTACGGGATGACGGAACTTTCCGGGCTGCCATATCAAAATTTTTTGACTTGGCTGCATTATTTGTCTGTACCAAATCGTCCGCAAATTGGCAAAGCCACTGTCTGAGATTCACCTATGACATCACACTTCTTCCTTTTGGTCTTATGTTACATGCTCCGATAGAAAACTTTTATAAATCGTTACGAAGCACAGCTCGTAAAAAACGGTCAACTGAATTTTCAAAACAAAATGAAAATTATTCTTTATTTTTATTTAAAAAGTCGTAAGCTACTGTTTTACTGCTATAAATATACATTCAACAGACAAAAAACTTTCATTTGGTATATAATATGTATACAAAATTCCATGTAGATACTGCTTGTGCCTTCGCTATACGTAAATATCATAATTTACTTATTAATTTACTTATTATACCCTTTAAGAGGGTATTATAATTTTGTCCAAAAGTGTGCAACGCAGTGAAGGAGACATCTCCGACCCTATAAAGTATATCTATTATTGATCAGGATCACCTCCTGCGTCGATATGAGCATGTCCATCAGTCGGTCGGTCCGTCTGTCTGTCTGTTTCTATGCGAACAAGTCTCTCAGTTTTAAAGCTATCGACTTGAAACTTTGCACACACCCTTCTTTCCTTTGCACGCAGTATATAAGTCGGAACGACCGGAATCGGCCGACTATATCCTATAGCTGCCATATAACTGATTGATCGGAAATGGTATAATTTTGGTGTTTTTAGGGTTAGAGAGTTTAAATCTTTGGCAAAACATTACGACATGCCAAATTTCATAAGGATTGGCCTACTATATCTTATAGCTGCCATATAACTAAACGATCGAAAATGACCCAATTTCGTGTTTTTGAAGATAGAAAGCTGAAACTTAGTACAGTTTCTATTTTTGGTCAGTTGATCCAACATACCAAATTTCATAGGATCGACCGGATATATCCTATAGCTGCCATATAACTGAACGATCGGAAATGGTATTTGGTAGAAATATCAACATTCGTATTTTTGAAGATAAAAGCTTGGGACATTTTTTTAGATTTTTTATTTTATTTAATTGATTTTATTATGATGTAATCATAAGGATCGGCCAACTATATCCGATGTTTGCGATATATATCCGGTTTTAACTGCAAGGGTATATCAACTTCGGCTCCGCCCGAAGTTAGCTTTCCTTTCTTGTTTGACTGATCATTTTATAAAGCATCTCTCACACCAGAGCTATTTCTTTCGCTCATTTCTGTTAAATTTTTTGGTTCAACTGAATTTTTTTTGGTTCTGCTGAAAGATTTTAAGTTTTCAATTAAACTTGGCGCCTTAGTGACAATTTTTTATGAAAATTTTGAATTTCATATATTTTTATTAAATGTATTGAAAAGGGGGACGCGAACAATTATCCAAGTATGAAAGGGGCTAAGTTGAAACCTATCGTCGGCTGATTATCTAAAACGAATGAATAACATCGTTAAATGATGCACGTAAAGCTTCACGACTGCTCTTTGCGAATGGCGTGTATGGTATATGAAGGAAGCGGGCAATTTGATAGCAAAAAAACTTTTGAAAAAAAAATTAAGTATAAGCCAAGTGCCAAAAATTTGAAAATGTCTTTTGTTACTTATATAATTTGAATTTTTTTAAGGTTTAAGATTTAAAATTGAACTAAGATTTAAGAATTAAACAAAAGAAATTATGTAAATCGAAAATTTGTTTCGGAATTATAGATAAATTTCTACCACTGAGAACCTATTCAGTTAAGCTGCAGCGTACATAAAATAAACGCTAAAAAGGTATGCAACGAACTGGTTTTCTTTCTTTGCTTGCTACAAATGCCCACGCCCAGAAATAATATAAATAGCTCAAAATTTAACAAACGCCCTCTTTATTTCAAGGCCTTTGGTTATCTTTCTTAGTCGGAGCTCGTCCACCCGTCGCTTGCCAGTCACCCGGCTGCTCGGGCTCTGCTAGTGGTTCTACTGATTATTGCCATTTCGATGGACGGCCGGTAGACTGACGTCCCCGATCGGTCTCCACGGTGGGCTTGAGTTCACGAGCCGGCCTAACCTTGTCTCGCAGGATTACGCCTCTTCGTTTCGATAGAAAGTCGGTAAGGCTTACGCCAGACCAGTCCGTTTACACGCTTCGTGGCAAGGCTACCTGCCGTGGTCGGGAAATGGACCAACTCGATTCCTAGACCCTGGGTTTAGTGAAACCATTCTGACTCGGGGCTTTCTTTACTCTTGCATGTATCCGCTCCGAACGATCGGAAATGGTTCTTGGTGAAAAACTAACTTTGGTATTTTTGAAGAGAGAGGCTTGGGAATTTTTTTTAAATTTTGTATTGTAACCAATTGGTTTTATTATGGATATAATATCCAATTGGATATTCTCATAAGGATCGGCTAACAAACAGCTTAGGCCAAGTCGAGGAATTGATTCTGCTCCGTAGGCTGTATCGCGATCGACGAAACCTGGATCGCGAGGCTTATGGTTGTCAGCTCAGACAGCCATAAGAATAGGTTTACAGGTAATTTTATTAAACAGAACGTCATAAACAGAGCAATAAAATAATTTAAACATAGAATTTTGTAACACGCCTCTATGGCACTAGGGCTCGACGGGTTGTAAAAAATTATGAACAAATTTTTTTTTTTAATTCTTCAGTATTTTTGTTGATCCGTCCTTCTGCTCCCATAACCTGTAATACGTGTAATTTTGTAAGGTAAGATTGATTAAAAATATTATTCAACTTACCTAAACTTTTTTCCGCACCACCTTTGAGATAGAGTTTCAGGCGCGTATTTTTGTATATAGGTTGTCCCCAAAAAGCCTAATCTTCCTTTATTTTATTTGCTTTTGAGCTTTTTGATAAGAATTGTTCAACGATTTACATATTTCTTAGCTTTGAAGTTTATAAGCGATACAACTGATAGAAAATGGATAATAGTCTCAACCAAAATCAAATCCTGTTGCCTGACCAACAATGTGGAAGTTCTTTGCCAATATCATTAATCGTGAATCTGTGAATCATTGCAAATTAAGCACAAAAAGCAATTTGTAGTTATTCTATAAATTTTTGACTATTTACTTCAAACGGGTCGATCACAACATTCTGTGTAAATATTCCATTGACCACAACAAACATTTGTTTACAAATCGTCATAGTCAAATAATTTTTAAAGTAATTTCTTGCGTTTCTATTTTCTTCAAGTAGCGTTCTGCAAACTGCAAAATCAAAATGACACAGTTAAAGAAATCATGTTGCGTATCATAATCTATGGAAATATATGTGTAACTCACATATATATATATATGTAATTAATCATCTAATTCAAAGTTATTTATGAACTTATTCATCTTATTAATGTTATTCATCTTATTATTATTCATCTATTTAATGTTGTTATTATTTAAAATTTGTTTTAAATTGGAATTAGTCAAGACTTTTTTTGAATTTGTTTTCCATACCAAATTTTTTTTTGGTTATAGGAATGATTCCATTGAATAAGGTCAATATTTTGTGACTTTGTAAATTTATCCCGAAGCTTTTTTTCGCCAACTTTCTTTGAAAGTTGACAATTCTTTATTAGAGACATTATTCAGTTCGTTTTTTTTTTGTTTAAAATTCTTATCACAGGTACGTTTATTGCGTCTTGCCCTAATAATACAGTGCGACAGTTATTTGCAACCTTTGAAGATACCTAGTAGGAATGGTTCTTTAGGTCGAATATAGTATGAAACCGTGTTTGAAATTTTTCTAACACCCTCAAAATCTTGATTTATTTAGAAAAAACGGGTTTTCGGGACTTTTATGCTCTTAAAAATTCCTAAGCGCGTAATTTTAAACCGATTTTAAAATTCAATCTCTCTAAATGCAATCTCTGCATGATTTGACGAATTTCTCCGCGTCTCGATCTATTTGCGCCCACCATACCTTTGACCTTCATAGCCGACTCTCCCGGATGACCGTGTGCCAACGTTAGAATCGCCTGTCTTAACGCTGTTGGAATAACTATGCGGGTTCCTCGCATCATAATAGATCCAATAAGTGAGAGCTCAGGTCTGAACGGAAACTGACTGTTTGACGATGAAGCGTTCCACGATTCGTGCAGGCACGACATTGCATCTACGATCTCCTACGTTTTCGATTATGTGGAAAATGCTATGTTCGCCTTTCATGTCGTAGCAATATCCTGGGTTTAATTTGCATAGACGAGAAAAGGTATCCGCAATGTTCTCCTTTCCGATTTTATATTTAACTTTGAATTTGAAAGCTTGGAGGCGGAGGAGCCATCTTTCGATTCTCGCTGGAGGCTTCGACGATGGTTTAAAAATGGTTTCTAGTGTATTATGATCGGTTATTAGTTCGAACTCTAATCCAGCTAGATAATAGAAGAATTTTTCCACTGCCCACACTAATGATAAGCTCTCCTTCTCGATCTGCGAATAGCGCTTTTCGACATCTGTCAGGCTTTGACTAGCAAAAGATATTATTTTCGGTTCATCGTCTTCATGGAATTGCAGCAATACTGCTCCTAATGCAACCGGACTGGCGTCTGCAATTAACTGTGTTTTGTGCTTTGGATTGAAATACTGCAAGTTAGGAATTTTCGCCAGACACGATTTCAGTTTATCAAACGCATCCTGTTCCGGAGCACCCCAGGTGAACTTCTCGTCCTTTCTGAGCAGTCGTCGCAATGGGTCAGTTTTATTTGCTAACTCTGGAATGAATTTTCCTACATATGTTACAAGGCCCAAAAAACTCCGAGTCTCCTTGTTCTTTGGAGGTCGAAAAGATGTGATGGTGTTAATTTTTTCCGGATCGGCCTCGATGCCATGATTCGATAAAATGTGACCCAAAAAAAGTAATTTAGAAGCTTTGTAGACACATTTATTTTCATTTAATACTGCGTTGTTTTGTTTTAGAATGCCCCGAACTCTTTTCAATGCTTCATCGTGCTCGTCCTCATTTTTTCCAAAAACAATAATGTCATCTATGTAATTCAGGACATTTGAGCAACCCGACAATAATTGCTCAAGCCTCCTTTGGAAAATCTCTGGTGCCGAGTTGACTCCAAACATCAATCGCTTGTAAAACCTAGTACTCTGACGACGAAAATCCATTAATAACGAAATAATCCTAACGGAGTTATAAACGTTTTTATTGCTCGGCTTTGTTCATGTAGCTCGAGTTGGTGATATGCATCCTTGAGGTCTAACCTGGAGAAGTATCTAGCATCCCTGAGTTGAGTCATGAACGCTTCAAACGTCGGTAAAGGTTGATGTTGTGACTGCGCAGATAGAATACGGGAGTCAATGATTAGCAGAAGTCTGCTATGGGGACTTTGCTGTTGCTGTTTTATAAAAAACACAGGGTTTGTTTCAAGTATGTCACGATTTTAGAGATCAAACAATGTTGGCAGTATAACAAAATGTGTTTCAGTCGTAATAATTGGTAGAAGCTTAGAGATGTCCCGCTTTCCAAAGGGACCGGGGGCTCGAGATCGATAGACATCAAGCAGGTATCGATTGTAGGGTTGTGGTATGCACTAACATTACGTAATGAACATTACGACAACGAAAATGACCGTACATGCCGCCCCGCAATGCTGGGTCCAGCATTAAGACATCCTTCTAATGGTAACTGAAAGAAACAGGTGAAATGTTTGCTGTGGTATGGATGTGAGATCAAATGTGTGTATCACTATTGTTCAAGATTAGCTTCCTCGACTTTAGCTTCCGTGTAATTCGGGATGGGTAATCTGCAGATCTTGGATACTGATCGCTTATATGTACCCGAACCTGTATAGATTGTTGCAACTCGTATAGATTGTTGCACCTGTATAGATTGTTGGACCATCCCATCGGCTCCAGGGTGTAATTCTATAACACGACCTAGTTTCCAATCGGTTGGACCTCTCCTGTCGTCCTTGATAATAACTAGGTCATTGACCTGTAGGTTTTCTTCCTCTTGTCTCCACTTAGGGCGTGCCTGAAGGTGAGACAACCAATCTGAGCTCCACCTTTTCCAGAACTGGCGACTTGTCCTTGTCACTGGGGGTAGGAAGCGATTGCATGGAGTCTCCGATGAGAAAATGAGCTGGAGTCAATACTTGCAGATCGTTAATATCCGCGGTTAACGGGCATAATGGCCGAGAGTTAAGACAGGCCTCGATCTGGATAAGAACGGTTGATAATTGTTCATAAGTCATTGGGTATCCTTTGAAGGAACGATGAAGATGAGACTTTACGGCTTTGACGTTAGCCTCCCAAAGTCCTCCGAAGTTTGGGCTGTGTGGGGGGTTAAAGTGCCACTGAATATAGCGCTTTGTGAGTTCTGGGACGACTGTCTGGTTGATTTCCTGCCGGAACTCGTTAGACCACAACTGTAGGGATTTATCTGCTGCTATAAAATTTGTGCCGCAGTCACTGTACATGTGCCGCACAAAACCGCGGCGTCCAATGAACCGTTGGAGAGCCCAGAGAAAATGTTGTGCTGTGAGTCCTGTCACCAGCTCCAAATGGATACCTTTACTGGCGAGGCAAATGAATACTGTAATATAGGCCTTGTATGTAGTGTGTCCTCTGAACCTCGAGGCCTTGACATCGATAGATCCTGTGTAATCCACACCTGTAGCTTCGAACGCTCTTTTCGGCGGATTAACACGATGGTATGGAAGATCACCCATTAATTGTCGAGAGGGTTTAGGGCGATGCTGAAAGCAAGCCACACACTGTCGGAGAACTCTTTTTACCGCTTGTTTGCCATTAATGATCCAAAACTGCTGATGGATGATCGCACGGGTCAGTTGCACTCCCCCATGCATGGTGTTCAGATGGGCGTTTTTTATGACGAGGTCCGTAAAATAATGTGACTTCGGTAGGATGATGGGCGTGCGTTGTTGAGTGGTGAGCTGCAAAGCGTTTCGAAGTCTGCCCCGCACTCTGAGGATCCCTTGGGCATCTATGAATGGCGACAGTTGGCTAAGTTTGTTAGATTTTGAGAGCGATTTGTTTGCTCGCAACTTGGACAGTTCGTGAGAGAATGCTTCCTGTTGGACAACGCGAACCAGAGTATACATTGCCTTGGAAAACTCCTTTACGCTAATTGGTCCGGAAAGCCGAGCCTCCCTTTTGCAGCGAGTATTATGGATAAAGCGATTAATGAATGCTGTGGAAAATAAAAGTCGACTGTATGACGAAAATGACTCAACAAAGGAATCAGTGGATGCACAGGTGTGAGCGTGGATAACTTTTGCTGCCTGTTCCTCGCAGATTGTGCTCGGATCTGGAGAAGTAAGAGTTACCTTGGGCCAATGATCTTCGGGTTCCTGCAACCAGTCTGGGCCGCTCCACCAGAGCTTATCCTGCGCGACCTGTAGTGGGGTTAAGCCGCGCGTTGCACAATCCGCAGGGTTGTCCTGCGTAGACACATGACCCCACTGTGAAGCAGAGCTGACCTCTTGGATGCTGCCATTTCGATTGGCTACAAAAGTCTTCTACCTGCATGGATCTCCATATATCCAGTGAAGCACGATCATGGCGTCTGACCAGTAGTACACTGTGACCCGCATCTGAGGCACGTGAAGTTGCTGCTGGATCCATGTGGCGAGTTTGGTAGCTAGAACTGCTCCGGAAAGCTCCACTCGCGGTATAGTGAGAGGCTTTGTTGGTGTAACCCTAGTGCGAGCTGCGACTAAGTGTGTATGTATAATTCCAGCAGTGTCGAGTACTCGAAGGTAGGCACACGCTGCATACGCGAGGGACGACCCATCGGAGAACATGTGCAATTGAAGAGATATCACATTGCTGAAATCGCAACCGAACCAGCGTGGTATGCGAATGTGTTGAACTTCTGGAAGATGTTCGAGATATCGCTGCCAACGCGCTGCCAAAGACTCTGGTAGCATGTCGTCCCAATCGAGTGCACGGTAAGTGCCATCAGTTTGCTGCATACGGAAGCTCCATACGTCCTTGAGGAGAATTTTTGACATGACTATCAAGGGTGCTAAAAATCATAATGGATCGAAGAGCCGCGCCACTGTTGATAAAAGAGCCCTTTTCGAAAATGTGGGATTGATCGAGAAATGGATTTTGAATCCGTAGACGTCCGGGTTTGGCTGCCAGTACAGTCCAAGCGTTTTAATGCTGTCTTTATTGTCCATTTCGAAGATTGAGTGGTTGCAGAGGTCTACTTTAGGAATATCGCTAAGCAACGCCGGGTGGTTCGCTGCCCATTTTCGAAGATGCATACCAGCCGAGCGGAGGGCTGCTATGACCTCGTTTCGCACTCGAATAGCACCGTCCGTGGTCTCATGGCCGCTTTGTACGTCATCAACATAAATCTCCCTTTTCAGTACCTTTTCTGCTAGCGGATAATTTTCTCGTTCGTCCTGAGCTATTTGGTGGATCACCCGAATCGCTGTGTATGGCGCTGATGCTGTTCCGAAGGTAACTGTGGTGAGACGGAACTCTTTTAACTCTCCGGTTTTGTCACGCCACCAAATGCGCTGGAATTGAGAGTCCTCTGGATGCATTTCGATACATCGGTACATCCTTTGGATGTCCGCCACGAAAACATAGCGATAACAACGCCAATTTAGTATCACTCCTCCCAAATCGTTCTGTAGAGCTTGGCCAGTACATAAAATGTCATTCAGTGATTTCCCGTTGGAGCTCTTACAAAAGGCGTCGTAGACTACCCTGAGTTTAGTCGTCAGGCTGTCCTCCTTCAGGACTGCATGGTGTGGAATCGTGCTGTAGAAGACGACGAGCTTCCCATTTGTGTTGATATGAGAGTGACTTTCTTCGCTTGTAGTGACTTCTTGTATTTTCTGTAAGTCAAAATATTCCTCGATTGCTTGGAGATATTGTTGATGAAGCTTATCGCGCTGCTGCAATTTTCGCTCTAGTGTGTAGAAACGATTTAAGGCTATATGTTTTGATCGGCCTAGAACTTGTGACGGGTCGAACAAGGTTTTCAGTGGTAAGCGAACCATGTATTTCCCGTTGGGCTGTCGAACATGGGTTTGACGAAAGTGTTTTTCACACCATCGTTCCTCTGTGGTGAGTTGGCGTTCAAACGGCACGCTATCTAGTTCGAACTTCGAAGAACCTTTGCACCAGATGATCAAGCGTCGTGGTGTTACAACGGACAGTGATGGAGTGTGTCATGGATTTCCTCACTGGTCCAAAAACAATCCAACCAAGAAGAGTGTTTTGTGCGATTGGTTCCTCATGAGTTCCTCGTCGAATTTCTGGGAACATCAATTGTGGAATAAGATCAACGCCCACAAGCACGTCAATACGACCGGAGCGGGCAAAATTGGGATCGGCGAGTTGCAATCCTTTAAGGTGTTGGAATGAGCGAGGGTCGACATCCAATTTTGGAAGGTGCCCTGTAAGTGTACGGAGAATAAATGCAGTGAATACAAACGATGTGAACTGGGAACCTGAAATCGAGCTTAGGACAAAATTGGTACTATGTCGACAACGATTGTGAGAGGAGTCGCCGATCCCTGTTATTTCCGCAGATATAGGGGTGCGTGAGAGACCCAGCGTCTGTACTAAGCTTTCGGTGATAAGTGCTCCTTCCGAGCCATGGTCAATCAACGCTCTGGCTAAAACAGATTGTCCCGTTTGGTCGTTGACAATTCGGATTAGGGCCGTGGCGAGAATCGTGGTGGATGGATTTTGATAGGTGGCAACTGCGCTGAGGAGTTGCGTCTCGTTCGAAGCAGTTAAGCCGAGGGCTAGGCTGTGCTGTTGAGACAAAACAGATGAGCGGGATGCTATGCTCTGTTGGGTGCCCTGCGCGCTATGGACACCGTTCGTTGGCTGTCGCGATAGGGCAGAGTTGGCTGGGTTGCTATGTTCGGAAAATGCAGTAGCGTATGGTGGCGTTGTAAGCAATTGCGAGTGCTGCCGCAGTGACTTAGCGCGTGGCCTGTGCTGAGACAATTGAGGCATGCTTTTATGCGATCGACGATCGTCTTACGAGCAAAGCAATCCTTCGCGAGAAAACTGGGGCATCTCCGGAGAACATGGTTTCTTTGGCAGAGAGTGCACTGGGGTGCTTCCATTTCCGTAGTCACGTGAAAACTGTGGCGGTTAGTGGAATTGAAGTTGGATCGGTTAGGCGCACGTGGATGGGAAGATTGTCCTGGTGCTGAACGAGTTCCAAGTGGTTGATTTCGATTTTCGATTAGGTCGATGCTAACTAAGCGCTCCAGCAGGAAAGTCTCCAACATCGAAAAGGTTGGAATCACGGTGGAGCTCCCCAATGAGTGCTCCCACGCTTGCGTAGTGCTGCTTGGTAGTTTGGTTAACAGATGATGCACTAGCCAGTGATCGCAGGAATCAATGTTTATTTTTAAACGTCGAAGATCACTAATGCAAACATTAGCCAGGGTTAGCACGCGCCTGATACCTTCTGAAGCTTCCTTGGGAACCGACTCATGACCATACAGTACCGCCATGGTGTGCATAAAGTGGAGACGTGGATTGTTGTAGCGCTTGATCCCAGGCTACCGTATACCCAGAATCCGTTAATGCCATGTGACTGACATCCTGGTCCCGTCCTTCGGGCAAGGCCTGCTTGAGAAAGTGAAACTTCTGGATGTTAGAGAGAGTGTTGTTGTCATGGATGAGTTGTAGGAAACCATCGTAAAACGAGGGCCAATCCGTAATGCTTCCCGAAAAGCGTGGAACTGGAAGCTTCGGAAGCGGAATGTTGGATGATAAAATTGGAGTGACGGACTCGATTGGTGGGGAACCTTGGGCTATCACTGAGAACTTGTTGTCGTATTCTTCCGAGATGTTGCAGAAGATGTGCTGGTGCTCTTCAACAAACCGCTCGTATAGGTTGTCTGAGAAATATACATGTTGACTGGGACACAGCTGATCGACCAATTGTTGGTGATTCGCATCAAACAGGGTGGATAAATCCTTTAACGTGCTAAGTCGCTGAAGAAAATAATGTTTGGATTTTCGGGATTGGCTATCCTTCTTGAAGTTACGCTCGAGTTGCGTCAACCTGTTCCATAAATCCTTCTGTCTCGCGTGCAAACCAGCAAACTGGTCGGATGGGGAAGGATTGGCTTGTGTGCCTGTCTTTTCATCGTCGATACCCATAGTTTTATTGAATTTACAACAGCACGCTTGAAATCACAGCCCTCACATACAAACACTCACCGGCTTCCAGTCAGTCTGTGTAGCAGTTTCCAGTTTTAATTCGTCGTTCCTTTGGTCCGTTATTCGTCTCGCAGCAATCTCTCCTTCCTTTGTCCGTTATTCGTCGCGCAGCGATCCCTTGTTCTTCGGTCCGTTATTCGTAGAAAGCGTGGTTCCACGTGGCATAGGTTAATAGCCGTTTGTTTCAGATTAATTTGAGCCCAATTGTTTGTTCCAAATCAATTCAAATTCCATTCATTGTGACATTTAACAACAGGTAAACCTCATGGGCCACCAAAAATGTTGTGACTGCGCAGATAGAATACGGGAGTCAATGATTAGCAGAAGTCTGCTATGGGGACTTTGCTGTTGCTGTTTTATAAAAAACACAGGGTTTGTTTCAAGTATGTCACTGAATTTAATTTGAATTGATTTTAGAGATCAAACAATGTTGGCAGTATAACAAAATGTGTTTCAGTCGTAATAATTGGAAGAAGCTTAGAGATGTCCCGCTTTCCAAAGGGACCGGGGTCTCGAGATCGATAGACATCAAGCAGGTATCGATTGTAGGGTTGTGGTATGCAATAACATTACGTAATAAACATTACGACAACGAAAATGACCGTACAGATGGTTTTCCCTTAAAATGGCTTGATTTGCTCGCCGCATGTCCAGCAATAATCAAATGTCTCCATTTTCTTTGAAAACTAAAACCATTGGTGAGATCCAGGCACTTGGGCCATTTACAGGTTCAATAATATCACGCTTTAGAGCATCCTGAATCTTTTCGCGCACCTTTCCTTCTACTGCAATTGGTATCCTTCGCATGGGCTGTTGTACTGGTTTTATGTCCTGATTTGTTGCCAACTTGACACTGTCGCCCTTCCACTTCGGAAAAACCGATACCTGCTCAATATGATTTACCTGCAGACCAAGCCGTAGCACATCCAACTTAATTGCAGTTTCTCGTCCCAGCAATGACTGTTTTCCTTTTTCAATGACAAAAAAAGGCGCAATCATTTCAGCCTGCTTACCAATAGAAATTGGTGCCTCAAATACGCAAATTACATTTAAAATTTGGTCCGAAGCGTATCCTTTGAACTGGTTCTGTGAGTTGGGACGAACATTGGACACTGTGGCTTTATTCCTTTTTAGAGTGGACCAGTCGTCTTGACAGATGAGATTATAGCGAGACCACGAATCAATGATCAGAGATATGTCTATGTCTATATGTCGCTGATTCTTTTCTTAATTCCTCGTCAACTTGGCAAGCCTCGAGTATTTCATCCAGTGAATGTTCCTTTTCGAATAATTTCCTTTTTAAATCTCCCGATGCCCAAGCGTCGATTGCCTTGTCTTTAAGACAAATCTCTTCGATGTCAGCTTTCGTTGATCCAAAATCGCACCTCTTAATTTGTTGTCTTAGGCGCAAAACAAATTTGGCAAAACTTTCGTCGCCAGATGGAATCAAGCTCCTGAACATGTGTCTTTCGAACGACGAGTTTTGTTTGGGTGAGAAGAACGCTGTTAATTTGTCCACCAATACCTGGAATACATCATTTTGTTCAGCATCGTCGAAATTGATTACAGCACCGGATAATGAATACGCTACTGATTGCAGCTGTATTCCTCTCTGAAAACTGCCTCTGAAAACTTCTTTTCAGATAACTCCTTTTCTTTTTTTTTTTTTCGTTATTATTATTACTGTCTCTTTGTCACTGCCTGACAAAGATAATATTTTATTATCTTCCTAATATTGTAAGCTGACAATATTACTTTGCCAGCATAGTTCGGGGCTAACTGCCTCTGATCTTTGTCAGATAATCTCTACATATATGTATGCCGGTGTGTCAATGCCAATGCTATGTCTACATGACGAACGGTGTGCCAAAAAGGATAGTGCAATTGAAAATTGCGTATCTTTTTTTCTTATTCTGCGTTTATTTTTTTTCTTATTTATTGTTCCTATAGTTTATTTATAGGACTGTGTTTCGCAGATAATCGCCATGCTGAGAATGCGATTTGGGCGACCCGAAATCATCATTGACTTGTTAGTGACAAGGATTAAACAATTTCCTCAAGTAAGGAAGAACAAGCTTAAGGTTGACTTCCCGGCGGAGGTGCAATATGTTTTCGCTACGATGAAAGCCTCTAAGTTGGACCAGTACTTAAACAACGCAGTGCTCACACAGGAGCTAGTGAGCAAGCTACCATCGATGTTGCAGACGTTTTGTGAAATGTACAAAGCCTTTTTATCAGTGTGTACTTTGGCAGAGATTAGTACGTGGCTATCGCAGATGGCAGAAGGAGCGAGCCATGTGATAGTCCAAAGCTCGTCGTCAGGAACGGAGAGAAGGGGCACGTTACATACACACACTGTGCGCTGAGGATGTCGGCTGTGCACTCGCAATTGCAGAACCCTGCAGGAGTGTCCAGCATTCCTGGAAACGACTTGCGGTCGCTGGAATGATACTCGACGGTGTGGCTTGTGCTGGTGATGTTTCCAGAGCCTGTAGCATGTAACGAACAAGTCTCCAGTGAGTTCTAGGATTTGTCTTTGCGGGTGCACACTATAGGGTCCGGCTCTCGCTCGTCTGCTTTGGGGGTGGAGGTCTTGCTTGGACAAATCTGCATACTAGCTACCTACTATTATTTTTAAGACCAGAATTGAGTGTGCTACCGAAAACCAAGAAGCGAGATTCGTAACCGGAAGAGAAGATGGATAAACTCTAAAGGGGAAAGAATAGAGAGATGAAAGAACCGGAAGAGATTGAGAAAAGTTATAGATCAGCGATGCCACAGATGTTGTCGTGGTCGCAAAATGCCCGCCCAACCTATGATCACCATCCTACAGAGCTAGGCTGCGGTGACCCCTGTTACCCTACGACTGTGGAAGCATCTGCAGAGTTAAAAAAAGGAGTTAACTACTCAAGATTCATTTTAAATACAATTTTATTCAATATATAATTCCCTAAAATTAGCAAAATATAACTCTATAAATTAGCAAAATCTAACCGGCGAATATATATAAGCGAAATTACATACTAGTTTTGGTTTGCTAAATATTATTTGTGGTGTATTTACAAATGGTAGCATAAATTTCAAATATTCGAATCGAAAAATAGGATTTGTTTAAGGGTTAATTATAACTTAAATTAATTTTTAATTAATTAAATTAAATTAATTAAATTTCAAAACCAAGATTTCACAGTGTAAATTATTTCCTTCCAATGTTTTGTGTAATTTTATTTTTTATACCCTTGCAGAGGGTATTATAATTTTGGTCAAAAGTGTGCAACGCAGTGAAGGAGACATCTCCGACCCTATAAAGTATATATATTCTTGATCAGGATCACCTCCTGAGTTGATATGAGCATGTCCGTCTGTCCGTCTGTCTGTCCGTCTGTCTGTTTCTACTCGAACTAATCTCTCACTTTTAAAGCTATCGTCTTGAAACTTTGCACACACCCTTCTTTCCTTTGCACGCAGTATATAAGTCGGAACGGCCGGGATCGGCCGACTATATCCTATAGCTGCCATATAACTGAACGATCGGAAATGACCCAACTTTCGTGTTTTTGAAGATAGAAAGCTGGAATTTAATACAGATTCCATTTTTTGTCAATTGATCCAACCTATCAAATTTCATTAGGATCGGCCGACTATATCCCATAGCTGCCATATAACTGAACGATCGGAAATGGTATTTGGTAGAAATATCAACTTTCGTATTTTTGAAGATAGAAGTTGGGGACTTTTTTTAGATTTTGTATTGTAATAAATTGGATTATATATTC